GGACCAAACCCCAAGAGCCAAAAAACCACGGTTGAGGACAGGTATCCGCAGCTGGTGGGATTGTTTTTCACAAGAGTGAGGGTTGTAATGGGTGTTGGTTGAACAGGATTTACTTTCCGTGAAATGAATTGGTATTTATTCAAGTTTGGAAACCATAAATGCAAACACTGTCCGCTGCACTGGCGCGGCTTTGCCGTTGGAAAAAAAGAAGTCTCGAAAACGAGGAACTGAAAGTAATTGCAGGATCACTCTTGCACAAAGTTGTATGGAAACGGGTGTCACGCGTTGATACCACTTTTTTCCCACACAAGCATTAGCGCAGCTCATTTGATCACATGCATTATCCTAACTTCTTCTAGAATGTTCTTGTCTTGCGCAATATTAAACACCTGTGCAATGTGACAAGGGTGCAGAACGCAATAACCCACTCACTACATGAACTTGAGTGCAATCGTCAATTTCCATACCGTAATCCTAAACCAAGAGGCATCTTCCATTCGAAGAAAAACATTCACGACATTCAGAAGAACCTAGGCAGTTTCGAATTTGATGCCCCAGAGCCCTTGCATACGTTATGAGTAGTGAATTTGGCGTTGCCTCGCGGTTGCGGACCTATCTGATTCATTCACGTGACTAAATGTTCCATTAAATTGATCGCGGAATGTGCCTTTGAGCCCTGACTGGACTAATTCCCACCCCCACAAAGACCTCATTATGGGGTAGTTAACTTGCTATTGTTATCAAATAATTGACGTACCCGCTACAGTAAACACATCATAAACTGGACGATGCGCTTCCCGTCGCGTCGACGACGAGGGCATCGTCGTAGTCGATGACGACAGCGTCGTTATGGAAGCTGATGGTGACGTCTGTGACGACGACACCGAAGAAGATATTGCGTAATTATTCACCACCACAACCGAATCTGTCGAACGCAAGGAATCCGTTACGCTCTGAAAACAGTTTTACTGAGAACTGAAAGCCATTGTCAAGCTGTTATCGTAATCCCACTACGTGGAAAGTTTTTGCCAAGGAAATTGGCAAATGCAGCGGCGAACGCTTTTCAAGAATGCCATTCATGACAGCACGTGTTTTGAGAAGCGTTATTTTGGAATATTGTACGAAAGAGCACGAGTAAGCAAGATAGAGAGATTGGAATTTGTGTAAATGAAATTTTCAGGAAGCATAGAACCTTCATCCAAACACTCCATACAGGATGCGTCATTAGTACGGTAGCGATGTAATTGACTAAGAGAACACAAATTCCTGATGAAACATGGTGAATTCCTACAGAATATTTTTTTAATGGGACAGAAAACACACGATCACCTGGAAGACAGCCTTCATCACGAATTCTAATTCGTGAACGCTCGTACATACATCCTTCAACAGCGTTACTGAGCTCGTCAAAATTTCCACGGATTCCATTCAACGTAGAAAAGAAACTGAATCCCGAAGCTAGCATTCTCCGGCATGATCTTAGAGCTGGTTATGAGGACTAGGTTTTTTTTGGAGAGGTTTTCCCTTTTTGGAAATGGAGAAGAAGACACAAGGCTGCTACCGCGCCAGTGTTTCAGAAATCGTTCCCGAGTCTTATTCGCAAGCAAATTAGCACAAATAAATACAGTAATTTTGTTGTATAGCCTGTCCTGAAGAAGGAAGCTCAATATTCCATCAAGACAAAAGTTAGAGTTGCTCACAAGTTCACTAGGAAAATTTGAACAAAATACTTCTAAGAGACTACTGCCGTCATCGAAGCGTGCACGATACGAGTATAAACTACAGCTTGCGCTGATGGCTGCCATATAAGTGCTATGATCCAGAATGGAGAAGATTTAAAGATCCATCGCGTTCCTTTTATTATTGCACCTTCTGTACTACAACTTCGCTGCTACCGTATTTATTGTATTACAAGGCTATTCACTCGAGTTTCATCCTTGACAGGATTCGGCAGATCTAATGAAGATACAGCCATTGGGGCAAGCAGGGGTTCGAGGATGGGGTTAATATTTTTTTTTTTATTTTTTTCAGCACGATCGACCATATCCACACGGTTACGAGACTCATTGAAGTTTCACGAGAGTACAAGATGCCGCTTTGTCTCACGTTCATCGACTTGAAGAAGGCCTTCGACTCTGTGGAGACAGAAGCGGTCATCGAAGCCTTGGGCAACCAGGGCGTCCCTACTCAGTACATCAAGATTCTTCGTGAGCTCTACAGCAACTTTACGACCAGAATCTCACCATTCTACAAGGAGGTCATCATCGACGTCAAGAGAGGGGTCCGACAGGGCGACACCATCTCGCCCAAACTCTTCAGCGCCGCTCTCGAGAACGTCATGCGTCAACTGGAATGGGAAGACATGGGAGTGAAGGTCGACGGCCGGCAACTACACCACCTTCGTTTTGCTGACGACATCGTTCTTATAACGCCGAACATCGAGCAAGCGGAGCGAATGCTGGCTGATTTCGACTGCGCCTGTGGTAAGGTTGGTCTACAGCTGAACCTAACGAAGACGATGTTTATGAGAAACGGATTGGTTCCTGATGCCCCATTCACGCTCAACGGAACGAACATCACCGAATGCTCCAGCTACGTGTACCTAGGTCGGGAAATCAATATGATGAACGATCTAGCTCCAGAGCTGAGCAGGAGGAAACGAGCGGCTTGGGGAGCGTACAAGAACATCGAGGGAGTAGTGAAGAAGACGAAGAACATCCGGCTCCGTGCCCACCTCTTCGATTCCGCTGTCCTTCCTGCCCTAACCTACGCCTCAGAGACTTGGACTCTGCGCAGGCAGGACGAGCATGCGGTCAGCGTTATCCAACGCGCTGTCGAGAGGACGATGCTAGGAGTAACCCTATACACGCAAGTGCAGAGGGGAATCCGGAGTGCCGAACTACGCCAACGATCGAAGATCAGGGACGCTGCCGTTTTCGCCAAGGAATCGAAGATAAGGTGGGCCGGACACGTCATGCGATTTTGCGATGACCGTTGGACCAGAGCGGTTACCGACTGGATCCCTCGGGACGTCAAACGAACACCTGGACGACCGCCGGCCCGATGGTCAGACTTCTTCA